CCACGACGCCCCAAGAGACCTGGCGGGGCATTCCAATCGCCTCCAATCAAAAAGGGTAAGCCTGCAGATTGAAGACGCTCTCCTAGGCTACTCACAGCAGGGCCCCTTCTCAGCCGAAGGCCGAAGGGGGCGGACGTCGGCACATGAATAGAAACCACAAGGACTCCAGGTCGGGGTAACTCAGGTGGGTTACCCACGCCGATACCCGATGAAACTCCCATGGCAACTCCTCCCGAAAGACCCCCAGCATCAGTTTCTCTGGATGGTGCCACGGCCGCGGGAAGGCCCTGGCCCCGAAACACCTTCTCACGGACGATCATATCAACAGGCCGATCTCCGACTTCCTGGAACCAGTATAGTATCAGGCCCAGGGATGGTGGAAAAAATGCTATCATTCCATTAGCCTGACGGCGGCGCACTAAGCGCCTTGCGAAAGACTGCACCCTGGCGGCGTTGCTCAGTCTTCTTCTCTGGGAAAGAAACGCACGGCCCCCAACTGGTAGCGTTGGCCGCCCAGATGGTGACCACGGTGCTAAACGCCGCAAGTGCCAGAAGAAGGCTGGCCCGCATCCGCACCCTTGCCTTTCGCCTTGGCCGCCAACTTGGCCTTGGCGCACAGCTGGGCCAGGCTGTCTGGCGTGACCTTATTGTCGCGGTCATTGCCCGTCGTCTGCTCTTGGTTCGGCGTCGAGTCGGGCCCAGCCTCCTCTTGGCCACCAGAAGGGCGACTCCCACTAGAACTCCCAGTACGCGCAGCTCCATCTTCACCGCCTGGAGCTGAAGCTTGGGCACCTTCTGCTGAGTCGGCCTGGCAACAACGCTTGGCCTGCATACGACTTTTGAACTTCTTCTGCTCACCAGACATCTGAATCGCATTCTCCTCGAAGCCTCGGAAGGCCCTCCTTGCCGCCTGGCGAACCAGCAACAAGAGCTCGGACTTTCGTCGCTCCAATTCTTCACGATCCCCGCTGGTGACCTCGGCGCCTTCGACCTCGAGCCCGAAGAGACCCCCGTCATCGAGATCGATGTCCTTGCCCTGCAAAATATCATCGAGGCTGATGCGCGGCACCAGCGGCCGTGACTGCTGCTCCACGGGCGCCACCTTGGCCGCAAGGCCGCACACCGTGTCCTTGTAGACGTTCTCGCAGAGCTCGTACACGTTGTAAGCTTCAGCCGCGGCAGCTTGAGCTTCGTGTAGTTGCGCTTCCAAACGATCAACCTTCTCCCACAGCTCGGTCGAGTTGTCACTGCGCTTGCTCCGTGCCGTGCTTTGCAGCACCCACCGTCGGCTGGGGCGCTGGAGCCGTGGCCTTCTCCGGCTTTTGGGTCGTCTTGTGGCAGCGGTCCGCCCCCACCTTCTTCCCCAACTTCGACAAGGATTTGTAGAGGGCTCGAAGGGTGGGCAGCTGGTCTGGAGTGCACTGGCCTTTGGCGGAAGGAGCCGTCCCAGTCCATCCCGACTGTTGCAGCTGTAGACCGACTGGCCGCACATCAGCACAAAATAAAACGCGACCGCCAGGCAGGAGGCCACCCGAGAACGACATGCGCCCCTGGCGGTGGCCACTCCAGACCCCTGGCGGTACAAAGTGCACGCTTGCTGCAACTTCCTTCGTCTCGGAAATGCAATGCTTACACCAGCGCATCCAATGCTCGTTCTTTGCGCAGCCACATGACACACACACACACACACTTCCATTTGGGCTTATCCTTGGCCCAGTCATCAGTCCACTGCTGCCACTGAGAATATATGTCCACGTGTGCCACAAACGACCATCGCGCTTCATGAGAGAACGGCGATCGGCTCCGACGACAGCGGAACTTGCTCCAACAGGAGATCACTGAAAAGTAAAGCGGGTGGGGCGAGCAAATACGGCCCGCAACAGCAATGCCGTTCTGATGTTCGCTGTTGCAAATTCCCCGTCCGAAAACTTAAGAAACAGAACGGCTACGCGTCCTCCTTCTCCTCCTCCTCCTCCTCCTCCTCCTCCTCCTCCTCCTCCTCCTCCTCCTCCTCCTCCTTCTGCTCCGCTCCTGCTCCTGCTCCGCCTGCTCCTCCTCCTCCGCCTCCTCCTCATCCTCCTCCTCCTCCTCCTCCTCCTCTCTCCTCCTCCTCCTCCTCCTCCGCCCCTCCTCCGCCTCCACCCTCCCTCTTTTCCCTTCCTCCCTCCCTCCTCCTCCTGGTCCTCCTCCATACTCCTCCTCCCCCTCCCCCCGCCTCCCCCTCCCGTCCCCCATCATCCTCCTCCTCCTCCTCCCCTCCCCTCCTCCTCCTCCTCCTCCTCCTCCTCCTCCTCCTCCTCCTCCTCCTCCTCCTGCTCCGCCTCCGCGGCCGCCGCCTCCCCGTCCTCCTCCTCCTGCTCCTCCTCCTCCTCCTCATCCTCATCCTCCTCCTCCTCCTCTTCCTCTTCCTCGTCATCATCATCCCCCTCCTCCTCGTCGTCCTCCTCCTCCTCGTCCTCCTCCTCCTCCTCGTCCTCCTCCTCATCGTATTAGTATTAGTATTCGTATTCGTCGTCTGATTACTCTTAGCGTTCATAGTACTAATACTATTCTTTTTCTTAATTACCTAACAGCGAAGACTGATAGGTTTCGAATGGTCTCAAAAGAAAGCATCTTGACTCCTCAGGGGGGTCTGGGCAGATGCCGCACGGGTGCCGGGGAGAATCCGCGGAACTCGGTTTAAGCAAACAGTTACACACTTCGTGGTCTTCGAGGTCCCAGAACTCCATTCCTGGGCATGTTTTGAATGCCCGGAGCCAACTGTAGGCCACTTCGTGTTCTTCGTGTTCCAAGAACACCATTCCCGGGCCACATTTTTGCATGCCCGGAGCCAACTGTAGGCCCCTTCGTGTTCGTCGTGTTCCCAGAACACCATTCCCGGGCCACATTTTGAATGCCCGGAGCCAACTGTAAGCCACTTCGTGTTCTTCGTGTTCCCAGAACACCATTCCCAGGCTACATTTTGATTGCCCGGAGCCAACTGTGAGGCTGAGGCTGAGGCAGGCTGAGGCTGAGGCAGGCTGAGACTGAGCCTGAGGCAGGCTGAGGCTGAGGCTGAGGCTGATGCAGGCTGAGGCTGAGAGGCTGACGCTGAGGCTGAGCAGGCTGAGGCTGAGGCTGAGGCGAGGCAGGCTGAGGCTGAGGCGGAGGCAAGCCGAGGCAGGCTGAGGCTGAGGCTGAAGCTGAGGCAGGCTGAGGCTGAGGCTGAGGCTGTGGCTGAGGCTGAGGCAAGCTGCGGCTGAGGCAGGCTGAGGCTGAGGCTGATGCAGGCTGAGGCTGAGGCAGGCTGAGGCTGAGGCAGGCTGAGGCTGGGGCTGAGGCCGAGGCAGGCTGAGGCTGAGGCCGAGGCAGCCCCAGGCAGGCTGAGGCTGAGGCTGAAGCTGAGGCAGGCTGAGGCTGAGGCTGAGGCTGTGGCTGAGGCTGAGGCAAGTTGCGGCTGAGGCTGAGGCTGAGGCTGAGGCAGGCTGAGGCTGAGGCTGATGCAGGCTGAGGCTCAGAGGCTGACGCTGAGGCTGAGGCAGGCTGAGGCTGAGGCTGAGGCCGAGGCTGAGGCTGAGGCTGAGGCTGAGGCAAGCCGAGGCAGGCTGAGGCTGAGGCTGAGGCAGGCCTGAGGCTGAGGCTGTGGGCTGAGGCTGAGGCAGCTGCAGCTGAGGCAGGCTGAGGCTGAGGCTGATCCAGGCTGAGGCTGAGGCAGGCTGAGGCTGAGGCTGAGGCAAGCTGAGGCTGAGGCTGAGGCCGAGGCAGGCTGAGGCTGAGGCCGCGCCAAGCCGAGGCAGGCTGAGGCTGAGGCTGAAGCTGAGGCAGGCTGAGGCTGAGGCTGTGGCTGAGGCTGAGGCAAGCTGCAGCTGAGGCAGGCTGAGGCTGAGGCTGATGCAGGCTGAGGCTGAGGCAGGCTGAGGCTGAGGCTGAGGCAGCTGAGGCTGAGGCTGAGGCCGAGGCAGGCTGAGGCTGAGGCCGAGGCAAGCCGAGGCAGGCTGAGGCTGAGGCTGAAGCTGAGGCAGGCTGAGGCTAAGGCTAAGGCTGTGGCTGAGGCTGAGGCAAGCTGAGGCTGAGGCAGGCTGAGGCTGAGGCTGATGCAGGCTGAGGCTGAGGCAGGCTGAGGCTGAGGCTGAGGCAGAGGCTAAGGCTGAGGCTGAGGCCGAGGCAGGCTGAGGCTGAGGCCGAGGCAAGCCGAGGCAGGCTGAGGCTGCGACTGCGAGAACAGCAGAATTCTACAACTGGATTATCACCTAAATCTCAAGGGGAATGCTTCCAGATATGCTTCTACACATCGCTGTTAGGTTGCTTTGCTGGGATAATATTGATAGGATGACTCGTGTTCGCATTCTTAGTATTACGATTACCCGTGTTGTTAGTATCAGTAGTATTAGTAGTAGTAGTAGTAGTAGTAGCAGTAGTAGTAGTAGTAGTAGTAGTAGTAGTAGTAGTAGTAGTAGTAGTAGTAGTAGTAGTAGTAGTAGTAGTAGTAGTAGTAGTGGTGGTAGTAGTAGTAGTAGTAGTAGTAGTAGTAGTGGTAGTAGTAGTAGTAGTAGTAGTCGTAGTAGTCGTATTCGTCTTATGTTTAGTAGTATTCGTGTTTGTATCCGTGTTCTTATTAGTATGCTTAGTAATACCAATAGTAGTGTTGTTGCTATGATTCGTCTTAGTAGTAATAGTACTAGTGTTTGTAATCGTCTTCTTCGTAGTATTCGTATTAGTATTCGTAATCGTCGTATGGTTCGTCTTATTATGTTTAGTAGTATTAGCATTCTTCTCTTATTATTAGTAGTAGTACTAATACTAATCTTCTTCGTATGCTTCATCTTCGGACTAGTATCATTGTCCTGATTACTATTATTATTTTTACTAGTACTATGAGTTTTATTTTTCTTCCTCCTCCTCATCATCATCCTCCTCCTCCTCGACGGTTCTGCGGTTCTGCGGTTCTACGGGTCTGCGGCTCTCACGATCTGACTCCTCCACTGCCCCGAATTCCCAAAAATACGGATCGATCGGCGCACGCCTGCGGTCGGGCTGTTCTTGAGCAAGATCAGCTCCGCGAACGCCGTCAACACCTGAGGTAAAGACAACAGCGCAACGCCCCGTGTACCCTTACGCTGTCAGCATGCTTCCCTCGCTTGGACTACTCGGGCCAGAGACTGCCGTCCCAGGATAGTCATGCGCAGATCGAACCGTCCTGGCCAAACCCAGCCGGTGGAAAATCTCCTGGACCGCAGGATCGATGCGGATGGTGCCATTATAAAGGTATTGGCATTATCGGGCCAGTGGGGCAATACCCCACGATGCTACCCCCCTGTAACCTAGGGTCCGCCAGCACCCAATTGTCGCACTCCACAATAAGAAAATACGCTTACGGGTGCTCCGGCAAAGAATGTCCAAATGTCCACGGCAACCTCCTTCTCACTCAATGATTCGTTTGCGGCTGTTACCCTCGACACATGGTGACCCCCTCCCCCCTGGCGGTCCCCGATGGGAAATGCACATGGGCACTGCATTAGCAGAGTAGCCTGGCGAACGTAGCTAAGCCTAGCTTGGCGTCGCTGATTTTCAAGCTAGCTTCGCTCATCTCAGCACTGCGCCGAGCCAACGCTTAAAAGCCGATACCAGGCTCAAGCTCAAGCTCAAGCTCGCTCACGAGATCCAACTAGAGTTCAAGAATTAGTCTTGACAGACATGACGTAGCTTGGCATACTAACCTCCGTGTGCCAGATCCTGCCTCGCCCCTTTCACCGGAGCCCTGGTGTTTACACGCATGTGTATACATGATCGTCGACCTACGTAAGATATGTTCATACGAAGTCGCGCAGCATGACATTTCTTCTGATGAAAACCAACAATCTCATACATTCTCGTAAACACCCCGTCGCATCAGCAAACAATCATAACAGCTTGGCACAGCAAGCCTATCTTAGTTCAGCCCAGATTTCGATGAGCGTGTGTAATGTCAGGGTGAATTAGCGCAGGACAGCAAAACACAGCATCGACTGGTCCACCATGACTTCAACTGCACTTTAATGGGACGCTAACGTTACCGAAATACTCAGAACTAGCTCCCATCACCTTCTCCATTTCGCGTTCGCTATGGAGCGGATATTGTACTCACCGCTGGATCGGGCTGCATGCCCGACCCTGGCGTCGGTGCCAGATCAGTGTGTACCACCTGGTATTGACCCCAATGGCCTGAGCTCGACCCCTTTCTTAGCTCTCGCTTGACGTATGCTGCGAAACCTTACAGCGGCGTGATCCAGTATCAAAATCAAGCGCGTTGGCTAACAATTGCATGTACTGGTACCAATCACCATGGCGCGCCTCAGACTGGCAATACCTACTGTGACCAAAGGATCCGTGCTAGTCGTGCCCCCAGCTTTCAAGTTCATGCTCATCTATGCACTGCCGCATCTACTCATCAGCTAGCCCAAAAGCATCAAAATCGCGAGCAGTCGATTTCATTCACGTGGGCTACCCTGAGCTTACATGAGACCCGTGTGGCGACCTTATATACTCATATCACCGTAACTCAAACTGGCGCCGCTCTTGGCTGAACCGACGTTCTTCTCTGAATCACTGTCGTGGCATGAAGCTGCCTCTCCGCCATCCCGCCCGTGCTCCATCCCGCCCCCCCCCCCCGCAGACCAGCTAAGCTCACGAGCTGCATGTATCGCAATCATTGCTTAGCTCTACCTGGATATACGCGCAGCTTCAATCAAGCTCTGATCCCAACATGATTGCTAAAGCACCAGCGCGTTGCATACACCCGTTTAAGCTTAGCAGCACCTCGCTTGAGTCGAGATCGGCCATTTTGCACTGGCAGATAGTACTTCCTGCTACCTTATATGCACGTAGCCTGGCGTTACCGCAACTCTGGATGAACGTCCGGGTCTTGCTTTATCCGTACCAGGCGATCAGCGTCACAAGCAGCTTTCGCGGCAACGCTGACATTAGTGTTCATATGTATGTAGCTGGCTTGCGCTAGATATGGCTTAAATGTTGGTTTGAGTTCGGTCTCACTTGACATGTACCTGCGCCCACTACATGGATTACCCATCGTTTTCTCCTCCTCCTCCTCCTCCTCCTCCTCCTCCAAAAGTTTCCCAGTCCGCTATTTCCCCCTTCCCTTCCATCCCTTTTTCGATCACGTCCTCCCCGCCCACCCCCCTTCCATACACCAACACCTCTGCGTTTGAGCACCCATCCTCTTCTCCACATCCAATGTTGGCATCAGTAGAATGTCGAAGTACCGTCCCGGCCGATAGGGCGACGAGGGAGTCCCTGTCAGTCGGAAACAGAATTCTAAGTATGACTCTTCCACTCCACTCAGTGACTATGGCCAACACCGTGACACTATGAAAATGCCACATGTCAGGTTGACGGTAAACAACTCGGTCCGCATGAATAAGTAAGAATATCAGCAGATGAAATGTATGAACCGACGAAAACGACCGTAAGAAAACAAGACATGACCAAAAGAGCTACGGCAAACATAAGCACGCAGGAAAAAACACGCCTCTAGACGACCCAAGAGGGCCCCAAGACGACACAGGAGGGCCCCAAGAGGACCTCCAGGCGATCCAGCGGGGCCCCCAGAGGCCCCCATGAGACCTCAACAAGAGGCATCCAAGAGGCCTCTAGTCCACAACCCAGGAACAATGGCGGGATGGGCCGATGGCCAAGGACGCAGAAGAACATAGACCAGGAAAAAGCATGGAGACAAGAAACGCTGACATGGGCCCCCGAGTCCAGCAGGCGCGTCAGAAAAGCCGAGGTTGCACCACCTTTTTTCGGTCGCGTCCGTTAGCGGAGTCGGAAGCTGCCCGGGGCGCGGATGCAGGCCTAATTAGCTACAGGGCGCGCAGCAGGCCGGCCGGGCCAGCTCACAAAGCAGCTGCTGTGCCGCGTGGCGAGGCTGACAGGCTGAGGGCACCCAGATAGGCTCGGGCAACGTGCAGTCTGACAAAATGCCAGAAAATTCGGTGTACGCCATGCGGCGTGAGCCACTTAGAGAGCGCGAAGACGCACTCGTAGATGCAGACACGCCTCGCACGCCTGGAGGTCGCACAGGCGAGGTGAGCGATGGACGAGTCGCCAGCGGGGCGCCAAGTCCAGGTCCGCACCAACGGTGCATGCAAGCAAAGTGGGCTAAGCGGCCGAAGTGACGTCGTAAACCTGCCTGAATGGCTGGAATGGGCCCAGGCGGAGCGCAGCGTCTGACGGAAGGCTGAACCACTCCGAAGCGCCCACAGGGCTCCCAAGGCCCACCATTCCGAGCACGTAGGGCGCCGGCCCTGTGGTGAACCCTGAGGGCCTGGCCCCAGTCACCCGCTGACAAAGCGCGCGGAACGTCGCACTGAGTGTGACAGGCCAGGCCGGCGGGGATGAACATCGCCAGCGCGGCAGGAGAATCCAGGGAGGAGCTGCACAGAGAACGGTCACCCCCGCGACCCAGGGGCACGCGAACCTTGCAGCCCGCCCTGCCCGGGAGGGGCCCGAGGGGAGGGCCGGCGGGGACAGACATCACTGGCCCTCCACGCGGGGGGGCTCATCAGGGACACCTGGCGAAGGGGGGGGGCATAGGGAAGGCTGAAGCCCGGGCCCGAGATCCAGGGACGCAGCTAACAGCTGCTCAGGGCTTGGGAGAAGAGGGCGGTGCATCCCCAGGGTAGGCGGAGCCTTCTGTGGGTCTAATGCAATTGGTACCGATGGCCCGCCATCAACGCAGGTCGCGCAACGCCTGCCAGCGCGCCGGGGATACCAGGGGCGCAGCTAACGGCTGCTCAGGGACGCAATGGCCCAGGGGGGGCAGCACCTGCCGCAGCGAGAGCGGCCAGCCCCTCAACGGCTGTCTCGTCTCTCCGTCCCAGAGCGCACGACTGCAACGGCGCGGGGCTGATTTCTCTGCTACGCGGCCGCCCTGCCCCAGTGGCGGGCTGATCCAACCCTACGCCTGTGGCGCGCCAAAACTGAGACCAACGCTGGGCCTTACCCGTGCTCCAGCCAGTCTGGAGGGAGGGGTAGCTGGGGAGGCTCCTCTCCAGACCGGGGCGCCGCGGGGGCCGTCTGCCACCTTAGGGCAGCCGCTTCCAGGGGGGCCCAAGCCTCTACAGACGCGAGCCAGTCTTCGCCCAGGGGCGCAAGGGGGGGGTGAGATGCGCCGGGCGCCCGAGGGGGGGATAGCCCCGACCCCGAAAAGGCAGCGGGTGGGCGGCGGGGCGCGCGCTGCCCACGCGCCTCTAACCAGCGGAGGCCGTCTAGCTAAGCTGCGCCAGGGAGAAGGGGGGGGGGGGCCCCACCCCAGCGGAGGGCGCCCCGGGCATTACGGCCTGGGCCGGGCGCAGCGAGGTGAGACGGGCCCAGTCGGGGCCAAGGATGGCGGGCGGGGGCGGGGTAGACCTGGTGGCGGGTGGCGGGTGCACCTGGACGGCGAGGACCGTCACGGTCTGCAACCCGATGGCGGAAGCGCGTCATCCTTAGGCTGCGGAGTCGCTCTTGGCCCACCAACGGCCTCGTTTTTCAGAGTCTCGGTGGTCTTCACGCGGAGAATCCCGCTTGCCTCCCCCTTTCCACTCGGAGTCTGTCCATGGCGTGTCGTGGCGCCCCCATGGGAAGACCAGCTTTGCCGGCCCCGCCATTGGTCGGGGGCACCCGGTGGATTGGCGGCTGCCCAGGGGGCCTGCGCCGCTGCTCGCCCGCCCCTGCGGGTGTCTGCTGACCGGGGCGCCGGCGTGTCGCGGCTGCCAGGTGCGCGGGGGGCCTGTGCGAGGGCGTCGTACCGCTCGGAGAACTTCATGTGCTTGCGGCGAATCTCGACCCAGTTTATTCCGAGTCTGCGTTCATGATCCATCCGGCACGCGTCGTACCCAGCGCGACCCCAGGCTTTCATGAAGTCCGAGCAAGTCTCGGGTGTGTTGAGTAAGGGGTTGCTCTTGTAGCCCCCCTGGACGCCCTGATCCAGAGCAGCGCGCTTGGACCACGCGTGCCATATAGCGCTGAAGGCGCCTCCTAGCGTCTTCTGCAGGCGCGCGATCTTGGCCTGCATGGCTTCATCTTTGTCCAGGTT